CTATCTATCGATCTGACGACCTATATCTATCTAGTTATCTATCTATCTATCTATCTATCTAGCTAGCTAGCTAGCTAGCTAGCTAGCTAGCTAGCTAGCTAGCTAGCTAGCTAGCTATCCATCTATGTATCTCTCTAGTATGTACCTACCTCCTTATCTATCTATAGAGAGAGAGAGAGAGACAAAGAAAAGACGGCACACTCCACAACACAAGGGGTGGTTGAGCGGGCCTATGGCCTGAGGGCCGCACCACGACCCCTAAGCCCGGCAGAAAGATAAGAGACAAACGTACATACATATGCATGCACTCACTCCCGAATGCTTCTTAGAGTGGGAGCTTTCTCTTTTGCGGTCTGTCAGGCTGCCCGGAGAGGGCTGCACTCGCTGATTCTGCCCCAGGGAGAGATCGAAGGCGCGAGGTACAACACAGCACTGCGCAGCATCCTCTGAAAATGCAGGGTGGGGGTGGCAGAATAGTCGTGGAGAAGGTGCTTGAACGCCGTAGAGTATACAATCGACTAAGAAGTTCAGCGAAGCATACTGGATGCCGACTTCGGTTTGTGGGTTTGCCGTCCGCGAAGCTATGCTCACAGTTGCCTTGCGCAGGGGAGAACCAGAAGTACATCTGCGTCTTCCAAGTGGGTAGCAGCTTCAGTCTGTTGAAATGATTTTCGTTCTGTACAGATGTTCTTTCTGGTGAGAGTGCTGGTATGTGCTAGTGTTGTTTGTCAACATTTCGCGTGCAACCTTACATTTGTCTCTCCGAGTTCTTGACTCAGGATTGGAAGATGACGAAGAGTTTTGCCTCGTCAAGCGAATACTTGGCAAGGCCTGCTTTAGCTGACTCCAGCTTGCAGCTGCAGTCGGACAATGTCGACCGGATCTGGGATAGATGAGGAGTTAATATGTGCTTTTACACGTGGCGATGTGAAGAGTAGTAAGCAAATTACAACACGCAGCGATAAGCACTTGTTCTTCAGACTGGAGGCCGGAAACAACATGCGCCGCATAGCTGATGATTGCAATGCCAAGGCACGTGGCTTACGTTGCCCCGACCCGCCAATGAATGCCTGGGCAGCTGCTGAGGTTCGTTTGCGGGGCATTGGCAGCGGCTTTTTGGAAGGCTCCGACGGCAAGGAGGCTGCGGCAGCCAAGCTCTTCATGTTAGTGTTTGCCACTTTCGATGCGAGGCTAACATGCCCTTGCAGCTAAACGTGAGCTGCACGGAGTATGCGGATTACGCCGGAAAGCCCAGCATGAGCACAGAAGCAACTGTCGAAGCAGAGCACAAGGGAGAGGGTTGCAGAAGGGTTGGGCAAGTCTAAGCAGCCTGCGTCATTCTCTTAGAGCAGAAGAATGTCACCAGGTGTCCGCCGTCGATCAGGCGCCATACTCAGCCAACCATGCTATAAGCCAGTCTGCAGCTGCGTGACCCGAAGTTAGCAGAGGATTGACTGGGGAGTTTGGGCTTTGACTTTGCATCGGCTCCGATTGCTCATCTAAGGTGGCGACACTTCTGAGAGATCTGTACAAACACTACAGGCCTGTCTACATGCCAGCAGGCAACGCATGTTTCGAGAAAGCCTGGCAGCGCATCGACACAGGCGGTATGCCCGGTCCAAGGGCATGGAGCCGCCAGATGCTGGGAACCTACCTGCCCTCAGCAAGTGAACTCCAAGCATGCCACGCTCCAAACGGTCGAAAGTGTTCGGTGCCTCGGCCGGCACCAGGTTCGCCTGAATGTAGAGGAAGTCCGACGTGACGACTTGCGCCTTGACCAGCTACAAGCGAAGGCGGCGCTGCCTTCGCTTGTCCCGGACCAAAGCTGTTGTGACTCCCAGCCGGAGAGGCAGTGAAGACGCCCGCAGAGCCGATCTCTAAGTCTGAGACCGGTCGGGAAGCCCTGCGAGCGCGGTTGCCCAAAGGCGAGAACAAGAACGACAGCTGAAGATGGAGCGCCGTGAACGCGAACGTGAGAATGATCGCAAGAAGCTTGGGTCAGGCTGGGACTTTGCGGTTTGCATTCTGTCTGTACGTGCATTCTTGGTCATGGCGCAATAGACTCATATATGTCCTTCGAGTTCATTGCGGGCACTAGGCCTGCTTATTCTCATCCACAGGCTCCGGATAGTGTGTTACAAGGAGGTACTGAGCAGAGCAAGCGGAGCAGTTCAGAGTGCGGTAGTAGGATGTGAGCGCCATGGTGTCCACAGCACAACTGCTCACGTATGGGTCGCTGCTTGTTTTGATCCTGGCCATTGTTGCGGCACGCTGGTCACAGTGGACCGAGTTCGATGCTGCAGTGGACGACTTGGCAGACAAGCTCTTCCAATCCCTGAAGACGGACGTAGTAGCCTTCGCGCTGCCGGCCGCTTATGCGCGATGGGTTTTGCCCTGCCCGTGGCAGGAGCCACGGCCTCTCAAAGTGGTGGCCTCAGGCGCCATGGGCGCAACCGCCCTATTCAGCCTGACAGCTGCACGCCAGGCGGCAGCTCAAGGCACCTTCCGTGGAATCTCAGACTTTGGTGGACTTTTTGTCTCACACATCGCTTCATACGGCGTGGCACCTCTTTTGGCAAGGGACTGGCGTTCCGTGATGGGGGTAGCTGTTCTTGCGCTTGTGTTGCTAACGGGGCTGCAGAAGGACATGGCACTGGAGACCGTACAGGCAGTGGCAGCTTTGTCGGCGGGGCTCATTGCTCATGGTCGCTTTGCCTTGCGCTGGCATTGGATTCTCTCGGCTTGCGTTGGTGCGGCCGCTTCGGTGCCGTACTTGGCTTATGTCCTCAAGTGGCTGCTGCCTCTGCGGGAGCTCGCAGCTGCATACCAGTCGGTTGAGAGCATTGTAGGCACTCACCAGTTTGAGGAAGAGGTTTGTGAACTTCTTGTTGTGACAGGGTATGTTCAAGTATCCTTGGGCTATGTGGGCATATGGTACATGCGAAGCTTACAAGCTCGAACAAACCTTCTATTGGATGTCGCTGATGGCAAGTTGAACGCATGGAGTTTTGTTCAGCGTGTGGGCTTGTATATGTGGTCCGTGGCAGCTCCTTACATGGTACAGCGTACGATCATGGAGACTGCCAATGCTTTGTCTCTCTACATATTTCTGTGCAAACTTGATCTGCATCTCCGCGTGGACACCTTTTTCTCAAGCGGAGATTACGCATACAATCGCTTAGAGGTCGTGCTCGATTCCGATCACACTGTGGATGCTTATGCCGAGTCCGTAACTGAGCTCATGTACGACTGCTACTTTCTTGTGGAGAAGAAGCTGTTCGGACTTCCAAATATCCTTCTCATGTCAGACACGCTGCTCAGCCAGCCGGGATTGATGATGGCAGTTCTTCCTGTGAGTGTTGGTCTTGATTTCGGCCGGGCACGCGCATTCTCGATTCTGACCCGGAACATTGAGCAAGTCACGAAATACTTGCGCACGAGGCTGTCCAGGAGGAGGAAAATCGAGGAGCACGATGTCGAGCACGCAGAGACTATTAGCAGAACAGGCGCAGCGACTTTGGTGGCAAGTCGGTGGGAGAGTCTCTCCGAGGAGATATTCAAGCTGACAGCTTGGAAGAAGTGTCTCAGTTCTTTTCGTCGGTTCTTGGATTGGATCTACTATACCAACATAGTAGGAGTGGGTATCGAGTGCGCGCTGGCACGAATGATGGAGCTTGGATCGATCGCTGCAGCCGACCTCGCAGTCTATGCACAAGTTATTGAGGATTCTGTTGACTTCTTGCTAACTCGGTACAGAGAGGCCAGGTTCCTGAACGCTGTGTGCCTAAGTCACCCCAGTCCCTCCGTCTCAAGTGTGAGGGAGGTGTGTTTGTATGAAACTTCTGCAGCGGCACGGAAGGATGCGCGCTTGGCGCAGATGGTGTCCAACCAGGAGCGCTTGGCCGAACTCCACACCAGTCTGGCTTCGTTCCAGCAGAGGCCGCCCCCACAGAGTGACGGTAAGACTCAACAACTCTAAACCAAATGGCTCGTACACTTAGTGTCATGGGAAAACGGATAGGAAACGGATGCATAGCACAGGAGCCGATCGGTTTGATAAAATGAAAATGACATGGACTTGGCCCTTAGCAACTTTGGGATGCGATGATGAAATCGACAGCTCAAAGAAGTGAATAGTTGGTACCATGATTCCCCGAGAGCCCTACATAGTACGTACATACTTCTGCACTGTTAACGACATAAAGGAACAATCAAGACATAAGTGTGCGCGTATATCTATCTATCTATCTATCTATCTATATATACATATATATGTGTGTGTGTGCGTTTGCATCTATACATCTGTTTGTATGCACACACGTATATATGTATGTATATATGTATGTATGTATGTATGTATGTATGTACGTACGTACGTATGTATGTATGTATGTAATACAGACATACATACATACATACATACATACATACATACATACTACATACATGCCCGCAACACTTTAGGGACTTGGGCTTCCAGGTTGAAAGAAACCAGGGAGGCGCCTGACGAGAGCTTCTGCAACTTCTCTCAGGGAGGCAACGGTGCGGCCTTTATGGTGGTTTGGGCATTGGGATTTAGGTTTTTTGGACATAGCACTACATGTCAGTTTCTGGCAGGTGGTCTGACGTTTAGCGACCTGACATACCACCGGAACGGCACCGCGCACGTCAAGCTGAAGCTCGAGTTGAAGCAGGGCCGGATTTATGCCCTCACTGGACCCAATGGAGCTGGCCACGCGGCATGAAGAGTCCTGCAACGCAGAAACACCATAGATTCTGGTGCTTCGCCCACTAAGGCAAGAGCACATTGCCGCAGGGTTGCACTTGAATCAGTTAGGAGTTGGGTGCTGTGCATCAGCTACCTCTCCTCCCTGAGGGCGCATGAACATGCATGGCAAGATAGATAAGTTAAGCGACATGCATGATTAAGGTTCGCTGTGCTATCGGCTTGTGCACAGAGAATGTCCTTACCCAACGGGCTACTAGTGGAGGGCCGCATGGCACCTGGGCCTGCAAATTGTTTCGCGAAGGAGACGTGATGCTTCCTGAACAGGTTGCGGTTTTGCAGTTTAGTGACTCACAGCAGTTGTTGAGGGACCAATGACCAGTGACGATACTGTACGCCGCAGGTAATGCCTTCGGGCGAGCTTGTCGAAGTCGCGCAGAGGTGTGGAGCCTTGCATATTCAGCTGCTTTCTTAAGATCTGTCGGCTTCCGGAGGCCATACCACCCATTCTATGTGCAGCCACTTGCATGGCTCCTGAACGACGCTAACTCTGCTGCACTTGAATCTGGAGAGCTGGAGCGCCTTGAGGCTCGAGTGGAGACTGGTCTGCAAGGAAAAGAACTGCCAAGAACCCGGGCATCCCTGAACTCTGCAACGATCTTAGGTTCAGGTGTCGGAGAAGCTGGGCTTCAAGTCTGCCCAGGTGGGTTCCACGCTGTCTTGCAAGACTACTTGTGTGGCGGAGTTTATCCAGTCGTATCTTCGTGGTGTCTTCTCGCGTCATCTAGAGCTTAGATCTACATCAAGATCGCTGCAGAGATCCTCAGGGACAAGAGTTAACATGTATGCAGACTTGTATGTGCTATACATGCTCGCATCGTGCGTAAGGGGTTGTGGGCACAGTGTCTTCTCCAACCAACATTTGTTTGTAATTCAACTGGCTGAGTACGGAAGCATAAGCAAGCATGTGCTACCGGCGCGTGTCTATACATACATACATACAGGGACCCAACCATACCCGCAACGGATGCACCTACTTGTACGGATTGGTACTTACCTGCTGTTATACAACGCAGGGACCACGACTACCATTGTGGCCGTGTGAAGGGGGTATATGAATTATTCAATTACATGCACATTCTCTCTCTCTCTCTATATATATATTAAATGTATACATACACACACACACATATATATAGTATACACATAGTTGTACAGTATGCAAATAAAGTGTATGTGTGTATGTCTGCATGTATGTATGCATGCATGCATGTATGTATTTGTATATATAAGGAGTTACCAGAAATACGTACACAACATGCGCGAGGCATTCATCATATGTATATGTATATATAAATATACATGCACAGTCTCACATACACACACACACACACGCACACACGCACACACACACATACACACACACACACACAGAGACAGAGACACCCATCCGCAGGGAGAACGGCCGCACCACGGGTTAAATCCATGTCCGTGTGTGTGTGTGCGCGCACATACAGCACACACATGTATGGTCAGGCGCTCTGCGGTCCCCCGTCCCCCCTCCCCCTGTGGGTGGGCTGTGCGGTCCCTCTTCACCCTGTGGTGTGGTTGTGGGGTTTTGGGTTTAGAGTATATGCTCTCCCTCTCTCTCTCCCTCTCTCTCTGTCTCTTGCCCTGCCGTGAGCGTGTCCGCACATGCTGTACTGTACGTAAGGTGTGCACTCTGCCTGAGACTGTGCAAAGATGTATCTGGGCTGTCGCATGTGACTGATGACTAATGCGTCTGAGCGAACATACGCTTCAAACAGAATGTCCAAAAACCTGGCTTGAGTGAGATATGAAGTGTTAATCTGATCTACACAGAGATTGATCGACGGATGTGCTGATGGCTGGATGGCTGCTTCCGTGGAGGGGTATACGGCTGCGAACATGTTGGCGGCGGGGGGGGACAGGCAGAACACGATTACGTAAGCGAAGAAGCCGTCGTCTGGCTGTATGTCGACCTACTCGTATCGGTCTGCCCGCCTGCTTACCCCGTGGCGGATCATCCAGCTACCCCCAACCGAACCTGCAACCCAGAATCAATCAATCAATTCTTGAGGACTCCGAGTCGCAGGGGTTGACAGCCGAGGAGCTGCGGCAGGACGCAAAGGCACCCAGGCTGCAGAGTACTACTATGTAGACTACAGAGTGCTGAGAAACTGTCAAACATCGGATACATGACGAAATGATCCAGAAGGCTTCATACCCGAGGCCTTTCAAGTTTCGAAGCTTTGGGTTGTGGGTTTCTCTTTCGCGTCAGGGAAGGTCAAGACAGGCGATGTCTTCATAGGGGTTTCAGCGATGCGCCTTCAGCACGTAGACGTGAGTTTCCCTCTCTCTCTCGCCGTCTCTCTTCTGTGTCTTTTGGTGGGTATTTTCACATTCTAAATCTGTAGGACCTACATATAGAGCCACATGCACGTGGTCACCAATGACTGTGTATGTAAACGACGAGGATTGGTACAGCGGGCTATCCGGCGGCCAGCGGAGCAAAGCCGAGCTGATGCGCCAGATCTTCTTAAAAAGCCGATGCCCCGAGGACTTGCTGTGTCCCGGTAGTCTAGGTCTCGGGTTTCGGATGTGCAACCACAGGGTTTGTGGTCGGATGGTGCAGGCTGCTGCCCCTTTGTCCTTGCTGACCTCGATTTGCACTGTGGGGCTGCGTGGTGCGTCTTTGCAGGTCGTCCTGATCGATGAAGCCTTAGCACCCTTGGATCCGGTCTCGAAGCAGCTTGTGCAGAAGCAACTGAAGGCGCAGGGCGCAGGGATAGGGCTTAGAGCCATAGACTCCTGGAGCGGGCCCTGGCCCCTGGCGCGAGGAGTTTTGCTCGGAGTCGATTCTGCTGGTTATCTATCACACAGGCAAGGACACAGCCTCAGCTCAGGGCGCTTACTTGAACATTTTGTAAAAATCTGCGTTTGCCAGGAGATGGAGTTCAATGTGTGAACAACAGTGGCTTCTTTGATGACAATTTGCACATATCCAATGGACACGCACAACTTGTGGGATTGTGCTGATGAGCCAGATGCGCTAGCTGACCGCAGATGGACCGGCACAATCAAGGAGCACTGCCAGGGGTTGGCGGAGCATCAACAGCGCAGCGGAAGATGTCATGGGCACCGTGCCAAAAGATGTCCTCGTTTCATGTGGTTGGAGGTGGCATGCACGCCTCGGTTGTTCGCACGACATGTTGGCATAGACACCGCAGCACGAGATGTTGGAATTCCAGGCGTCAAGATCGGAAGCCGCAAAATGCACTTGCGGAGCGGAGCTCCACGGCCGAGAGAAAAGTGTCGTCCAGTCCTGCTTGCTGCAAGCTGCACAGAATCGTCTCAGGGGCACTGCAATTGGAACTGCACATACAATTACACCACTCAGTACTGTATATGCACTTAAACATGCATACACGTGAATGTGGGCAACTGCTGCTTGCCTGATGCTACGGAAACTGTACTGCTTGGTAGGCGAGCGAATCACCATCGATCTTGAGAATGCGTGCAGACCCCAGACAAAAGCAGCCAGTTCTGCGAAGTGGACTCCTTCATTTCAGAAACCCTAAACCCTCAAACGCAACTCCTAGCGAGCCTGCTTTGCGCGTTTGGTCGAGGCTTGGCGGTCCAGCCGCGCCCTTATGTCATGCCAGATACGCTGCTGGTTTTGACACGGTGGGATGAGTGGAAGTTTGCCAGGAATACTGAATACTGCTCAGTGTCTCCATTCGATCGAGACGTTCTATGAAAGGGACACACAACAGTCAGAGTTTTGCCCAGGATCGTCCAATCAGGAAGCCGCCGAAGATGGACCGACCGCTCGGCGCTCCAGCTGAAAGCAGCAGCTGCAGCCTTAGCATCGGGCTTGACAGCAAACGCATTCAACACAAAGAGGCTCTTGAAGAGGCCTGCACACCTTCGGCTGTGTTGCAGCTCACTTGCATGAGAGGGCACGCTGAACAGGACTGGTTGCACATATACACAGAGAGCGAGTCTGAGCGGGGGGACGGAGCAAAACGAAAACTGTACAACCTGTAGGAGTTGAGAGCGTTGTGAGTTTGTGCTTCTGTTTCTCCAGTCCAAACAGTGCCAGCACAGAGCCCGGCGAAAAGAGCCGGTGCTCAACAGTTTATCCCCAGAGGGCGAAAAAGCGAACGAGGAGGCGCGAGGCCGGGGGGTTTAAATGGTGTTGTAAGTTCAGGGGGGTGATGACAGTTTCCGACCTCTCTTCATCGCATGGTAGAGCACACACAGACCGAGACTGCCAGGGCGCATGAGTATTGCCTCGACTAGCCAGACAGTCTGTAGTACAGCTTGTCCCTCACTCTCTGTCCACATGATGGAATGGGATGCGCTTCGGCGCGAGTTGGGGGGTTTGCCCCTGACTTTGACCCCAAGCAAAGCAAAGCAAAGATATGGCCTGAGGGTCGCATGGACGACCCCTAAGCCCTGCAGACAGAAAAAATGTGTAACTATCTAATATCTACATATATATATATACACACCTACATGCATATACATATTTATGTCATGTATGCATATGTATAACACACACACACACACGCATACCGACTCCTGCTTGCTTGCCTGCCTGCCTATCTGCTTGCCCATACATACATGCATATGTGCCTATTTCCTTGAGCCCTGCTGCTGCTGCTGCTGCTGCTGCTGCTGGCGCTACTGCTTGGCAAAACTTAAGAATGGTAGTAATATCAATGTCAATAACCTCAATTATCAGAACTTGCTGTTGCTACGAACGTTATTCTCGCCGTAGGTCGCACTGACCAGACTACCAGTTACAACAAGCAGTAATGAATGGACATCTGCAGGAGGTGGCGGAGAAAATCTGTAGCAATGCTTTCAGTGTAAATCGCCACAGAGACCAGAATTTCGGTAGACAGGATGCTAGAGACACAGCCTGTTGGGTCTTGTCGCGTTTGTTTACTTGTTATAACATCCTAAACTCACCTACGCATTATGCTTCTATGTGTGCATGTATATACATACATACATATATATATAGATACATACAAACATACATGTGTGTATGGCATTTTTCAGCTGCAGTTCTCGGTGCCCAGTGTGGCCACTCAAAACGGATTTTGAGTGAACTGAAGTTTTGGAGCAGATGTCCCGCCGAACCTGGTGCCCACTGGCCTGCTTGAATCAAGCTAATCGTCAGCCGCAGTGGTGCCACATGTTTTTTTCCACTAACAGGTGAAGGTGAAGACGCCTACGGTCTGCGACCCTGATGTTCAGAGGTTAGAATCCCGCAGCTTGCTGGATGAGCTTCCCGTCTTGTCAAGTTCCTCGTGCGTCGTAGTTGCTTGAGGAACCTACGATGACGACCTGCAGTGCGCCAACTGTCACTTGCTTTTGAGGGCAAACATGTGAACGGCGTTTCATTCAGGTCCAAATCTACTACAACTCTGCGTTCTGGAGCTCCGGACTTGTGCTCAGCATCCTGTGTAGCTGGACTTTTTTTATGTAAAACGGCTTGTATCAAACTCCACTTAGCAGCCCCTGGCGTCAGCCGACCCTGCCAAGATCCCGACAACTCCGGCGGGAAGACGTGCTGCAGCACGGTCAGGCAACACAAAGAGTGGCACACAGCTATGGATGTCAATGTGAAGGGCTTGAAAGGCGTCTTCAGTGATGAACAGTTGACTTCCTTCGTGGGACGCTTCTTTGTGTGTGCTACTGCTACTGTATCGGGCACCTACAGATTTCCGAACAGGTGGCGCTGCAGCAGCTGCGCTTGCAGCAGCCGCAGCGCGTGAAGCAGACCGTTAGAAGCTTAGGTAGGGGATTGGCATTGGAACAATCGCATGTTGGACTGTTGGGTGACAGTTGTTCCAAAGCCTTCGTGCAATCTCCTGCAGAGGTACTGTGTATTTATTACGTCACATGTGCACGTGCAAACAGCTCTGAGGTGAAGAACGTGAGAGGCAGAAATTCGAAAGAGAAAGAAGACGAAAAGAGAACGAGGCCTCGGATTGAAGATTGATTTTTTCATCTCATGGTTGTTGTGACAGCAGAGGGGGGTGCTAGTTGCATGCTCGGCAAGCCTTAGACTGTTCGAAGCAATGCTACCGTTCAGTTGCCATGGAGGTTTTCTAGCTCCATAGCGGACCATACATTCTTTGTGTCCGTGAGGAAAAAGCCGCGGCCGCCGCACGCAAGCCTGGTCGGAATGCGACCGGCCGAATTTCAACAGGGAGCCGGGCTGAGTGTTCTTCCGTTGTCAAGCAGCCAAGTTAAGGCACCACGGGGGATGGGCTTGGTCATTCGATCTGCTGGCGATGCGGCGGACTCAGCAGAGGAGCACGGAGCTGTTGAGAGCGCCCTTCCTTGAATTCTGGAGGCGCAGCAGCTGTCGGCTGATGGGCAGCTGCCGATTGGCGCGAACAGCGCAGCGAACCCTCCGCAACCTGTCCCGAAAGGCTCGTTGGTTCAGTGGATGGAGAAGTCGTGAGTTCCAACTCGGCCTTACCTTGCAGGTAAAGGGAAGCCCAAAGGCAAAGGCAAGGAGGGAAAGGAAAGCAACGATTCTAGAGAAGGAAAGGGCAAGTCTGAAGGAAAGGATGGCAAAAGCAAAGGCAAGGACATCAAGGGAAAGGATGGCAAGGGCAAATCTGAGGGCAAGGGAAAGGGCAAGTCTGGCAAGGACACTGCTTGCACATGTGCGCCCGTGCCCTTGCTGAGAAGTGAACCCTCGACCCACCTTGAAGGACTTGTCTGACTCCTGATTGGTTTTGGGTACCTTTGGATCCTGGTGGCCTGAGGGTGCGAGCCCGAGAACTTCGTTAATTTCAGACTTGAATGCGTCCCTGAAATCGAGCTTTCTGCTTGCGAAAAGGTGGTCACTGCCGAGCCTTCAGGGGTTGAACATCGCCTCCTTGATGCCTCGCCTTGTTTCAGCTTTCTGAACGGGGCTGTCTTGTACAAAACTGTGCAGATGAAGCCGGAGTAGCCGGAAATCCTTTGTTGTGGGGCTTTTATGTTAACGATTGCCGTGCTGCGGCTCGTGATCGAGTTTGCGAGCTTTGGGCGTGCCAATGGGGGCACATTGCTCACACACCAGAATCTGGGTCCGCAGCATGAGCTTGAGATCTGCTCATCTCCCTGAAGCAATCGGTGATCACCAAACTGCTCGCTTGTTCTGCATCTGCAATGCTGTCAGGCCAGGGGATGTGCAGACTCACGAACAACTCTCCCAGTCGCGTGCCGAACCGGAAAAAAACCGCCACAGTGCGTTTTGGAGACAGCCCTTTCTGTGCTCTGCCGACTCTCTTCGCCCGCTACCTCAGTACTAACGCTCACTGACCGATGAACGCGTCAACAAGTCTCTGTCTCAGCCGATGTTCATGTTCTCGTGAAGCTCCGAAATGAACTCCGAAACTGTTCTCGGTGCACTGTTCCGATTGCGGCTGGGCTCGGTCACAGAGCTCGATCCCGGGCTGGTAGATCTGGTGCTGGCGAGTTGAGACACGGCTAGGAGCAGTGGGATGGAATGCTACTTCCACCAAGACCTCGTCGAACGGCAGCACCTCAGCAGCTTGGTGCCGTCCTGATCCTGCTGATGGCACATACATTTCAAGACATGGGCCAGAGAGCGACTCTGGATTCTCTCTCTTCCGGTTGATTACACTTAGATCATGCAGTGCAATGCAGCCAGCACATCAGCACCCATGGAGTTTCCACACAAGCTGGAAGCCGCTGGCATGTGCTGATGGTCCGAAAGGCGCCTTCATTGCTCCGCTCGAATGTTACACACTCGAACGGGTTTCTTCCCGAAGCCAGGCGCAGGCGGTGATCCGGTTGAACCAGGAGTTGAGAACAGCGAGGTGTCTGTCGAAGCGCAGCGTCTACTACCAGAGCTAGCGGGGTGTCAATGCTTTCTTGGTTCGTTACGATTTGCGTGTCAGTGGAGGTCACGCGCAGAGCTTGTAGCCACTATCAAGGTGCCCTTGCAAGTGCGACCCCTGCGACTGAAATGATGCTGATGTTGATGAGCTTGTCAGATTTGTCAGGCAAAGGCTGACGAGTTTGACAGCCGCCATGTTTCTTAGCACTGATAGCCCAAGGTAAGGTAAAGCAAATGCATGCAACTTATCCTGGCGCCCGGTGCCAAAGAAAGTTTTGCGTGCGAGGTTGCCACTGCTATCTACACGTTTGCCATGCTGCCGCCCAGGACGCTATTGCAAAGTAGCTGGGACTTGCTCGTAAGCAATGGCTAGCACTTATTCTGAATCTACCGCTTGTTGTCAAAACATCCGGTTTTGTTCCGAGTGATCTGACTTTGAATTCCGACGCAAGGCCGCGCAACACACTATGTCTTCGCCAAACAGCGGCCGCAGTGCTGGCCTTTTCTGCCGGAACAGCGCACAAAGGCAGACAAGAATTGGCATACCACCGTGTGCAGGTCGAGTGTCTAGCTGATCAGATGGCCAAGGCCGGTGCACGATGAATCATATTTGCAAAGGGGAAGTCGCGCGAGAGTGAAGAAGCCCACCTTGCTTGGACGTCAGAAGTAGTAGCAGCATGTAGCGGCAGTGGCAGTGGCGGCGGCGGCGCGGTACGGGCGCTAGTAACTTAGAAACTTAGTAGCAGTGCTGGCAGTAGCTGTAGTTGCAGAAGTAGAAGCATGTAGAAGCAGGAGCAGCAGCGCTAGAAGCAGCAGCAGGAGCAATAGAAGTAGCAGTAGCAGGAGCAGCAGCAGCAGCAGGAGGAGGAGGAGGAGGAGGAGTAGTAGTAGTAGTAATGGTAGTAGCAGTAGCAGTAGCAGTAGCAGTAGCAGTAGCAGTAGTAGTAGTAGTAGCAGCAGCAGCAGCAGCAG